CTGTCATTCAAATTTTTTTTAAGCAATGACATTTTCCATGCTTTGCAAACAACAAATTAAATATGTTGAATTGGAAAATTTTGTAGATGACATTTAACAGTGGGTCACCTTGGTTCGACGGTGTCGACGAAGACATGCTGTTCGGAGGTGCTATCGGATTCGAAGAACTGGCCGGCGGGAATGAAGGCCCGGGAGAGAGGGGAACGAGGGAAAATGAGGAGGGAAAATACTGACTTCCAATTTGGGGGAGGAAAGGTTGTACCAGTGGTCTGCCAAATTTGTCCCCTTTTTCAAACAATTTCTACTGTTCATTGATGTGCCCATTATTAATTTTTTATTACCTGTTCAACATCTGTGCAAAGGAATCTGTTCGAATAGCATTATTGTTTTTTGAAATATGAGTTTTTGAAAAAGAAGGAATTTTTTTCGATTTATTTGTAATATTATTTTATGAAAGATTGTATGGTTGAAAATAAAAGAGAGAAAAATATAATATAATAGAATAGAATTGAAATTAATGGGGGCCAAACAGGGGTATATAAGAATTCGAGGAAAGAAAGTTGAGGAGATAATGGTTACGATAAAGATGTAACGGATTAAAATTGTACGAAAACATAATTACAAGACAAAAATATTAAGGTAACTCTTAATAAATGTGCCGATTTTTCAAAATACTCATATAACACATTCACTCTCACTCTCACTCTCACTCTCACTCTCACTCTCGACACAACCGAGACAATGGATGTTGGTCATCAGTTTTGGGAGCAAAGGAGTGGGTGGCAAAGGATAGAAGGTGGGAATGGTTTTAAACACATCCGCTCTATCTCGACACAAGCAACACATTCTATTTTCTTACATTTTCTTGTCTTTCTTTTATTTAGTCTTTGTTAATTTAAATTACATTCAATGTTGACTTTTTACAATATTCTGAAAGTATAAAGCGTATTTAGATAGTAAGATTATATTTCTCATCTATGCGAGATTTTTATAACAATGTTTTCACGTAGCGTAACAACTTTTTCGATGAAAATACTGAAGATGGGACAAATTGTGCTAATTAAAGAAAGAATGGATATAGGTTTGAGACGAAAAAAAGCTCAGGACAAGGTTGCTGTTTTGCTCAAAAGGTTGAGGACGAATCGTACAAAATAATATACTTCTACAAATAGTTATGATTGTACCATAACTATCAACTAATTACCAAACGTCTCGTCCACCCATTTTCAATAGATGCCAACGGAGTTAAAAATACACGTTTTTTAAATATCTTTAATTTTAACAACTACTTTACGTATCGCCTTTGAAATATCACAAGGGCAAAATGATAAGAAAAAAACGAGACCTCGACCCATCCTTGTACCGTCTCTAGTTGTTAAAACATTATTTATTCCTCTGGTTGTTTTCATTGTTATCTAAGGATTTGAAGAAATTTGGTTAGGACCACAAGGGTACGATGAATATAAACTCTCCCAAATTGGACAGTAATATGCATGATATAACGACTTGAATGCTGAGGCTCAAGTGGTTACAATTAACATTAATTGCAATGATGCTCAAGCATTCTTTGGTCTTAAACTGCATGATGTAGATATGTATATAGGTGATACATCAAAATTGTGATTCATAGTCAAAAAGGCCATTAAAAACACGTTTCAAAGTATAATCAAGTTGCAAGAAAACTTCAACAAATTTATTTAACACGGCATGAGTAAATTTACTGATCATTTAAACCTCTCCAAACAGTTCAACAACTGGAAAGATTACACCTTCAAGCATTCTGTTTGTATGTATATCATATTAGAACAGAGCCCACTGGTGAAACTGGAAACTGAAGCCTTTGCAACCATTGAGAATGAAACAGAAGGTATTATGCTGTAGCTTCTTCTGCATCGGTCTCAATTGGCTCTTCCGGTATATTATTACCACCTCTCAACCGGGAAGATACATTGTCAATGGCAGAATTGAGTTGCCCTATTTTTTCATTCAAGGTCTGCCTCGTTTTCTGAATTTAATAGAACAGAGAGGATTAAGAAAATGGTTAATGGAGAAAGGAATAGTTAAAGTCAACTTATTTTTATGGCAAAAGAAAGTCAATGTTATCACCTCCAAACCTTCATCGTAGTAAATTGGTCGCTTGGCCCTTCGAAAGCCATATTCATCTTCGTTTAGCAGCGATCTTCTTATCTAGTAATAATTTTTAAAAAGAAAATGGTAAATAAATTAAAGACAAAATCAAATAGTGGAACACTGATGCACCCATAACATGGTTTACTGATTTCACAAACGAAATGTTATTTTTTTATCCTATTCATGGTAACATTACAAAGTTGTATACGTAAGCAACTTGGAGTCCAAATATTTTCTGAACAGGATTTCAAGTAAAGATTCTAATTATCTTACTTTTAAATATTTAAACAGGTTTGGAACCAAGTTCAACCAGCTCAAGGAACAACCCAAAGTCCACATACACTTCTAGCTAATCCCTAGCATTTTGCGAAGCTCAAACTTAATTTGAATAAATGAGCCATATTGATGCGGAGCAGTATCAAGAAGGGCAGGTCACAGATTGTATTGGGGCATTTAGGAGTTAACTTTCACGTACTTTACTATTAGGAAAAGGATAGCCCAACATCTTGACTTGTTTTCTGATTTGTAATTTTATTCTACTGCTATGAGTGGCAGTTTCATGGTATGAGATGTTTGACTTTGCACGCTGCATCACTTGCTAAAGATCAAGCTTCACTCATTTTATCCAATCAGCCAATCTTACAAACTAGTGGTAGCTTTTCATATGATTCTTATTAACATACTTAATCAGGCTTCAATCGTTCTATCCAATCAGCCTATCTAGAAACTAGTGAGAACTTCATTTGATGCTCATTAACATACTAAGGCTACAATTTTCTCCACAAGTCAACAAGATCAATCACGAACCATTTCTAGAGGAGCTACAAAAGTAAATATGGAGACATTGAGATTGACAATTACGTGAATACTTAGGCTCACCTGTGGAGCAAATACATATGCAAGTGTTCCAAAGATTGCACCTCCTATAAGAAATCCAGCTACAAAATCACCACTTCCACCTCTATGATCACTGCATATAAGAGGAAAAAATTATGGCAGATATCACATCGCCAAGGAGAAGTAACTGCCTACAACACCGGCATACACCAAAAACTGTCTGCCACCAAGCCAAGGGCCAATGCCAACTATATTACTCTAGGAAAAGTTGACTTTGAACACATGTTCACCCAAATAAAATTTTTGTAAAGAATGTCATGTTTGAATCTTCACAACAAAATAGCTATTCTCAAAACTTGTTTATCATCATCACTAATAATGCTATAGTTCAAAGTCACAGATCAAGGAGTGATCTCATCTTTAAAAGCAGAATCCAGTGAGCAAGAGCACGAGCACGAGCACAGGGGTGTAAGCAAGATTCTTTTCCAGAAATTGCATAGAACGTGTAGCCTCCACAAACATTAGAATGGTTCCACGGACAGAGTGGTAAAACAGTTTTTATCAAAAACAATCCCTCACAAGTAATTCTAGCCCAATGCATACAGCAGTCGATATGCCAACAAGATGGCAGAAGTTGGACACCTTGCTAATCTTTCACTTTCGCAAAGCGAAACACCCAGTTTCCAGTTGATTACTACACCTAATTACAGTATAAGAAATGCACCAGAAACCAACTAATTCCTACCGACCAGGTCTATTGCAATTTTAACTTGTCAACTGATTGAAAATTATACATCAGTATCAAACCTAGTCAGCATATGAAACCATTTTATGCTTGAGGACTCCTGCAAACCCGATTTTGAATTTTTTACAAAGAAGGGACAAGGATAAGAGTTCAGAGTGGTACAAATTATTTTAGGTATTTTAAGTTTTCAAAAAGTTGACTGAAGCTTACGCCTTAAGTTCCGCCTCTTGTGAGGCTTTCATAACGCCTTGAAGCAATACGCTGCAGACAGTTGAAGCGTGCACTCATTTGTCTTACCTTTTCGAGGCTATATATGACTTCTTCTTGGACTATGTTTTATAGCTTAGAAAGTGTTACAGTTTTTTTGGTTTTCATTTTTCTCCCTTTACATGGAAGGGGAAGGAGACGGCGCCATTGCAAATGGAGACGATGAGAAAGAATGAGAAGAAGCTGATAGTGTAAATATGTTTTATTATGGCTTTTCGAGATGGCCAATAGTTTATTGTGAGCACATTTTTGTAATTTGTATTGTTTTGAATTATTTTATTGGTTTGTCTTGAAGCCTACATCTCGGTACTCTATGGAGTCATTTTAAACATTGGCTAGAATATAGAGTTATAAAAAATGTTGTCCATGAAGATGGTGAATCTTAAGGATAAAAAACTTAATCAATAGACCAGATGACTACACAAGCTTCCCTGTAGAGAAGCAAAAAAACCAGTAGAATATGAAAAGATTAAGACACATATTTTAGTAATTTCATTATGAAGTGGAAATATAAACTGAAGACTCGAGGTTTGCTTTAATAATGCTTCTCCTTAGATGTGATAGGAAGGTGGTGACTTTGCATGAGAACATCAAGTCCTCAAAGAGAGACGATACAGTCTCAATGCTTAAAATTTACGTGGCAGAAGTTAATGTCCTGTTGAAAGTGCTTAAGACGACCATAGGATGTTTAGTTTTGCAACAGTAACACCATAATTGGATGTACCGGTCAGAAGGAAAATTCACACTACACTTGAATGCATCATTCATTATTTTGGTTCAGTGATTTTGACAATTTAGTCAAACCAGATGACAACAATAAGTTATATGCCATATGCAGACATCACATAAAGCAACAATATTTTTAGTAATTTACAAGTGAGAATAGCATAAGCATTCATTTTACTTTTTTTCATTATTTAGTGCACTGGGAACATATTCATGATTCAACAAATTCATTATATTCTTGCATAATTGTGGCCATGTGCACATTATTTACAGCATCTTGGGGTGTACTGGGGAGGAAAATTAATGACCATGGCTTCTTAGTCAGCTAAGCAAAGCCACACAACTTTTGACCTACGCTTAATTCATGACATGTCCGGTGACGAACAGAAACAAGTATTCGATTTAACAGACAACTGCATACCTGTACTCAGCGCGAACAGACAAGGTGCGCCTGATTCCAGAACGACTTGTCTTGGTATGAACCGTAACTGGTGGTGTCTTGACAAACGTGCCTGGCCTTACAGACAACATATCCTTAGTCTTGAGGAGATTTCCACCTACATGGGAACATAAACAATATAGAAAACATTAAATTGTAATAGTAAATAGCAATCCAAATAACACCACAATAAACCATTCAGGCATTATTTCAATCTCACATTTGAGAGAGAGACAAAATTTTTGAAATGCCACAGTAAAATTCCATTCCTGAGAGATAGAGAGTAACTAGCAATTACGTGCCAGAACACATTGAAGGCGACAATCAAAACCCTAAATCGAGAATTCGGACACAATTATTATGCTCACTTAATCTTGGAGAAATCATCATATCAGATACCATCATCCAATTCAAGATTTCTGCACCGAAACGAAAAAGATAAAGAGTATAGTAGTTAATTATTACCGGAGAGAAAGAGAGGAGCTATGCCGGCAGCCATTGGAAGGGGACGGGAAGAAATGGTTGTGAAGCAGAGACCGATAAAACCAAACCCGAGAGAGAGAAAGATCCGGAGGACTGTGATTTTAAATTTATTCTATTGGACTCAGATTTTCCCTAGCAATAAACCGTCCGTCCACCAAAGCTTGTTCATCGTAATCATACATAATTAAGCGATATTACTCTGAGGGCCCGCTTAATTACAAAGATGAAATTGAATTCAATTGAATTGAAAACGAATTTCAGATAATTGAATTATTTAAAAATTGTTTTCCTGAAAATTGTAAATTATTGTGTTTAATTGGTATAATTTTTTACATGAAAAATGTTGAAATAAAAGTATTTTTTGATATTCGTTTGACTTTATTTTACATAAAAATTGTCAATTAAATTGATGAAATTTACTAGTATTGGAAATAAAATATGTTTCCATTGTCAAAAAATCTAGAAAATCATCTATCTTTTGGTGCTCTTTTGACTTCGTTTTACATGAAAATTGTCAAGTAAAGGGAGATATATTTTTACAATAATTCTTACAATTTGTTTTCATTGAAAAATAAAATAAAATAGCTACAGTAAATCGGAATTGGAATTCTCACCATACAATTCCTTGAAAAGCTGGAATTTGCTCCTTCCCAAGACAAGCTAGAAAATTGATTTCCTAAAAAAAAAACAAATAAAAAAAAATGGTATCAAACAAGGCAAATGGAAAATGGATTTGATTTCCCATGGAAAATTTTACACAATCAAACAGGCCATAGAGCTAAATAGCATTATCTATCTACATCTACAATATATTAAAAGTGAGGATTAAATAGAAAATTTTGATTACCAATTATACCCTTACATATTTAGTTTTAAGCCGAATATGCCCTCATT